TCTTCACTGACCGCACTGATCCTCTCTCTCTCTGTTTTTCCTGAGCTTTTTCATACCCCTTTTTAAAACATTTTTGGTTCCTGCCCCCACACTTCACTTGCTAGGCTATTCCCCCTGCTGACAACTCTATGACTGAAGAAATACTTCCTAACGTCCCTGTGACTCATCTGAGCTTCAGCCCATTGTGACCCCATGTCCCGTGTCCCCTCCTGGGAAAATCCTATCTCTGTCCACCTTTCCCATTCCCCGCGTATTTGTAAGCGTTATCATGTCCCCCTGACCCCTTCTGTCCTCCATTCGTCAGTCCGATTCCCCCAACCTTTCCCCCGACACATTCCCTTGAGCTCTGGGACTAGCCTTGTTGCAAAACCTTTGTACTTTCTCTAACTTCTTGACTTGCTTTACCAGGTGGGTTCCCGATGGGCTGCAACTCCAGTATGGGCCTAACATACACAGTTTACAGTTCTTGAACGATTCCTTATTAAGGATCGGAAAGCTATTCCAGGTTTGCCAGGGGCCCTATGCTGCACGGTTATTTGGTTGATGTGTGCCCCGTGATGTGCTCTGTTATGGTCACCCCAAGGCTTTCCCCGAGTGAGGTCGTAATCTTTTTCCCCCTAAACCTATACCTGTCGCGGTCTTTTTTGCCCCCCCCAATCTTTAGGGCTTTGCATTTGCCGGATTGAATTCGAGAAACCATTACTGGGGCCAATTCCCGGGCCCTCCCGTCTCTTTGCAGCTCCTCACCTCGTCCTTTTTAAATTCTTCTCAACAAATCACGCATCGCGAACAGGGCACTTTTAGAGTCTATGCCCTTTCCCTCATGTCGTTCACATATACAAAAATAGCACTGGTCCTAGAACTGACTCCTGTGGGACCCCGCTCGTAGCAGCGCCCACTGTGATACCTCTTCACGTACCATGACTCGTTGCTGCCTCCCTGTCAGGTATCCCTTATCCATTGCAGTGCCCTTTCCTTTTTACGTGTGCCTGATCCTCCAGCTTCTGCACTAATCTCTTGTGGGGAACTGTGTCAAAGGCCTTCCTGCAGTCTAGGAAAACGCAATCTACCCCACCCCTCTCTCTCGTGTCTTACTTCTGTTACCTTGTCATAAAACTCCAGAGGTTTGTGATACAAGATTTGCCTTCCATGAACCCATGCTGGTTTTTCATTTATAATCTGTTCCTTTCCAGGTGTTCGACCACTCTCCTCCTGATAATCTTTTCCATGACTTTGCACACAATACATGTCAGCGACACAGTCTGTAGTTTAGTGCCTCGTATTCTGTTTCCTTTCTTAAATATGGGGACTACATTAGCTGTCTTCCATTTCCCCAGGTAGTTGCCCAGTTTCAAGGATGTGTTGAAGATTGTGGTTAGAGGCACTCACAGCATCTCTGCTCCTTCCTAAGGACCCATGGGGAGATGTTGTCCGGTCCCATCGCCTTTGAGGGTCAAGGTCACTTAAGAGCTTCTTCACCTCCTCCTCATTTTTTCGATGTCACCCCAACACTTTTGGTATATTCCTTCTTGATGTTCCCTTCTGTGCTTGCTTCCCACAGCCCTTCCTGTCTCACTGTAAAAACTTCCAAAAAATCTCCTGTTCAGCTCCTCACAACCTCCTGATCATTTCTTGTGAATTCTCCACCTTCTGTCCTAATCTGATCACCTGGTCTTTGACTGTTGTCTTCCTCCTGATGTGGCTATACAACAGTTTCGGGTCAGTTTTTGATTCTCGATGCTATTTTCATTTTCATACTGTCGCTGGGGCCCTCCCCCCTTTTACCTGTGCGTACTCTTTCCTGCTCTGCAAACTGATCTCCTTTTTTTTCGTTGTTCTCTCCCTTTCTGTACTTTTTCCATTCTCCATTGCACTTTATTTTTGCCTCCTTACACCGTGGGGTAAACCAGGGTTTCGTTCTGGTCTTCCCGTTGTTACTGTTGCCCTTTGGGGAATGAACCTTTCCACTGCCCCTTGCATTTTGTTGCTACATATTCCATCATTTCATTTCCCTGGCTTTCCTGCCAGTTCTCTGTCCCACTGGACCTCCCGCAGGAAGTTCTTCAACCCTATGTAGTCCCCTCTTTATAGTCAGGCTTTTCCCATTCTATCCCTGTTATTCTCTCCACTTGCAGCTCTACTATGTATTCAAAGCACAGAACCACGTGGTCGCTAGCTCCTAGGGGACTCTCATAACTTGATGTCCTCAATGCCCTGAGCTGCCCAGGGTGAACACAAGGTCCAATCTTGCTGGTTCATCCTCCCCTCTCACTCTGGTAGTGTCCTTAACATGTTGGTGCATGAGTTTTCCAGCACCACGCCCCAAAACATCTGGCTCTCCATGTTTCGGGACCCCCATGTGGCTCCAGGTTTTCCCAGTCAATCTCCCTGTGGTTGAAATCCCCCAAAAACCACAACTTTGCTCTGCTGGAGTGAGCTCCTTCTTGCCACCTCACAAGTGTGTCCCCCATTGCTCTGTTGCTCTCTTCATATTCCTCTCTTGGCCTCCTGCATTTCTGTGTGGATTTACATCACTACAATGACCACTTTGTGTTCCTCAACTGAAGTGTACCTGCTATGTAGCCCTCTTTCCTCCCGTCTCATCTATTCCTTCCATTTTCTCGAATTTCCATCTGTTTTTTACGAGCAGAGCAACCCCACCTCCCCCCCTGCCCCTTCTATCTTTCCTCATGATCTGGTATCCTGGTGGGAAGATTGCATCTTTTTATTGTCTCCATGAGTTTTTGTTTCTGTAACTGCTATGATGTCTGGGACTTTCTCATTGATTCTTTCTTGCCATTTCCTCATGTTTATTCGTTAATCCATCTGCATTTGGTACCAAACCTTCAACTTCTGTTCTAATACTGTAACTGTGGTGCGGAGGGTGGAAACAGAGGGATCGGTGTGTGACGGTTGGTTTGGATTGTTCAGTTGCCTTGGGGTGTCGTGGCGGAGTCCTTCTGCAGGTTTTTTTGGGGGGTGCACTTGTCCTTCCATTTGATCCTGGGTTATTCGCTCTCCTTTTTCTTTTCCTCCCATTTCTCCTTTCGTTTTTGAACTCTCTCTTTCTTTGTCTTCCTTTCGTCCTGTGTTCTGTCTGGGTCGAGGTACACACTCCGGAACTCCTGCTTGCCTCTCACCGGGGCTTTCTCCTGCAGGATCATGGTTCGGGTTGATTCCCCTTTTGAAAATTACTTTGAGAGGCCGATTCCTTTTCTTTGTGAACCACCCAATTCTCCGAAAATTTGCCCCCTGGGTCATGTCCCCCTCGCCTATCACCTTCAGAAAATCTTAAAATCGCTTTTTTCTCCTCCTCTTTCTTTCATCATAAGTTTTCCCCTTTAGTTTTCGTCTAGCCCATAGACAAACACGGATCTCCCCCTTTCCTCCTCCCACGTGACTCCCATTGCATCCTCTGATGTTTTTTTAGTTCCTTCCCCGTGGAGTGTTCCTTCCTTCAGCCCCTTTCCCCTATTTAAATGGCCCCTATGCTTCTTGGTTTATCCTTCCTGCTCACCTGCTCCTGGCCCCCACAGGTATCTGGTAAGGTCCTTGCACATGTCCTAGTTCCTTAAATGTCTTCCAACCTCTCATTCTGTCCTATTTGTGCTCCCTGTCTTTGTTTTGGCCCCATGTGGGTTTGACAGGACCTCGGGCATACAGTTTAGTTTCCATGCTTCCTTCGGACCTGTTGTCTGTGTTCAAATGTAGCCAGTGGTTGTGGGGTGTGTGTATGTTTTGAGTATGTGTGTGTGTAGGTTGTGTGTGTGTGTGTGTGTTGTGTGTGTGTGTGTGTGTGTGTGTGTGTGTGGGGTGCTACAGCTATTCAAGTGCCTAACAGCAGATCCTTTTCTCACCTATTTGGGGCATCTATGTTGTGGTATGCGTGCATTATGTAACCCAGTCCTTATTTCCCTCGAAATGTACACATATGTTTTGCATATGTACCCTATCTCTTGGTTTCCACTGTACTGTCTTGTGTGCATAAAATTACGTAAAATTCACATGAAGGTGTGAAACCTGTAAATATGTGTGTGTGTGTGTGTGTGTGTGTGTGTGTGTGTGTGTGTTGTGTGTGTGTGTGTGTGTGTGTGTGTGTGTGCGTGTGTGTGTGTCTATGTGTGTATTTGTGTATGTGTGTATGTGTGCGTGTGTGTGTGTGTGTGTGTGTGTGTGTGTGTGTTAACACATAGGCTGTCTCTTACCGAGATAGGGTGGCACTCAAAAAAAGAAACACATTCTCTATCATTCTTTCAACAACTCTCTTAGAAGTGTGTTGACATAATTCACATGACTCTCCCTCCCGTAACATCTTCACAAGTCTGTTTACTTCAGTGCCAAATTACAGATTGTTTATGTCAACACTTTTATGGGAAACCCGGAATCTTCATCTATATTATTAGAGAAAAAAAAATGGAATTTTTCTCATCTTCCTTCCCCACTTTACCTAACTTGAAGAATTTATTCCACTTAAGCAGGGCATAGCCTGCTGCAGTGTTTTCCTTCTTTCTTGTGTTGTTATGTAATATATTCAACTGGAGGCCCTTCCGTTGACCCATATCGACTTGCCGAGTGACTTCCACCTGCCTGTATGGGCCCACCTGCCTTGTAAAGGGGCCCGTTGACCTTCTGCATGTTCCTCCAATTTATGTTCTTATGCTAAACACCCTTGAACCAATTAAAACCTGAAGTAAGACTACCATTGGCCTACATGAACGTGAGGAAATACTTATCAGGTATATATTTACTGCCTCATACTTTAAGGCATGTCACATACATCCTGAAACTCGACTCTGTCAAGATGATTTCTTTGATTTTTTCTGCTTATTATCTTTCGTCTCTCCTCAGGCTGACATCTTGACTCAAAAACCCACATAACGAAATTCTGATGGCGCTACTGGAAGACCATGAGAGACTTAATTCTATGTTGGTTTGATGATAAACTTACTGGAACACAGTGTTGTAGTTGGTGTTGATGAGTGTGTTTACCTGTTTTGCAGGCGAGTGTGGCGGAGTGGGCTTCATGCAGCACGCGAGAGGGATCTCAGGTGGGTGAGAGTGGACCTGAAGGAGTGGTCACCCTTTCACCCAGGTACCTGCAAGTCGGCACCAATTATTTCATAGGTAAGTACCTGATCACCTGAGCTACTATCCCAGCTACCATTAACTCGTGGGTAAGTACCATGGCAACCTCTTAGCTATGTTTACTCGGCTACATTACCATTGCTACTCAGCACACGTTGAAAACAGATTTCATTCCCAGTCTTAAAATTTCGTTAATGCCAAAAATATAGTGACCAATCGAAAGCAATTGAGAGGAGGAACATGGTGTGGAATTTCGACCTCCTCAGCTTCAATTTTGTGAGAACAACCAGGAGACTACTAGTAAATACAGTGATGAACGTAAATGCAAAATACCACGACTGGAACAATACACAACCCTAACATAGGAGAGAGACGTTATTTACGGGTTATTTGTACATTGCTTCAGTCACTGTATTGTGCCTTTTGTTCGTCACTGTACTCACTAATATTCACGCAGTTGTACTCACTAATATTCACCCAGTTGTACTCACTAATATTCACCCAGTTGTACTCACTTAGTTGATGCTGTTGAGGTTGTATTACCACTCCGAGGTCCGCCTCTCATGAGATTTTCGCATTGTAATCAGTGACAAACATGTAACAATATGTACCAGACATGTATCTCTCACATCTCATGTACTGTATATGCCATCTGTATATCAACACTGTATCTCTTAAACCTTTTTGTACCATATTTTGTAATAAAATATACCTATTGGTAAAAAAGAATGAAATGACGGGGTGTTAGAGGAAGTGGAATATTCAAACGGCTTCAGGAAGAAATCCAAATATTCTTCCTTGAAGCATTTCTATCCACTTCTCCGAGGCTGTGGGTCCCACAGTTTACACCAGAGGTGGACCCCATCACTATATTTTTGGCAATATCAAACTATTAAAACTGGGAATGAAATCTGTTTATAACGTGTGTTAGGGCGACCAAAAGAAGGTATTCAAGTGACTGAATAATAACTTACCAAGTTGTAACAACACGATTGTAAACATGATAGCAAACACGATTGTAAACACGAATGTAAACATGATAGTAAACACGATTGTAAACATGATAGTAAACAGGATTGTAAAAATGATAGTAAACACGATTGTAAACACAATTGTAAACATGATAGTAAACACGATTGTAAACACGATTGTAAACATGATAGCAAACACGATTGTAAACACGATTGTAAACATGATAGTAAGCACGATTGTAAACATGATAGTAAACAGAATTGTAAAGATGATGGTAAAGACGATTGTAAACATGATAGCAAACACGATTGTAAACATGATAGCAAACACGATTGTAAACATGATAGTAAACACCTCACAGAAGGTGCACTGGTAAGCACGTGAAGCCAGAACGAAGAAGTACTCTGGCCTGCTAGTTTAAGGACTGGTTTGCCTTGGGTTCTAACCCCACCTCACTCTCCCACTGCGTGGGGAAAATTGAGAAATAAAACAAACAGCTGAGGGACTTGGATATGGAAAAAAATATCCCATAGTGAGACAAAAATAGGAAAAAAACAGAGCGTTATACATTTCAACCTAGAGATGAGGTCCTCTTCAGCAGGTAACCATTCGACCTATTTTTATTACCGCCTTGTAAATTTTTTCCAGCTAATAATCAGTCCTTATTCAGCTCATCTTCCAACATATTTTACAGTTTGTCAGGAAATACACGCTCGCGATTTTACAGTCCTCCCACTCGCTGCCAGACGTAAGCCACCTATTTCCTTAACTCAGTTGTCGTCTCGTAATTATATGTAAATACTGGTTAATTTACGTTATCGCAAACAAACCGAAATTAACCTCATCAACAATAACAAATTTTGACCCCCCCCCCCCAATTTTTTTGAGCTCGTGGAAGAAATAGACGAGCGACAAGTTGTAAAATAATTCACTTTTTGACTGCAGATTAGTTAAGCTAATTACGCTTTAGCTCACCAAGTGGCGTATGAATGCGTAAATAGACGGAATAATGGGTCGTTAATTAGTAGAGATGAGTTCTTAAATATGTGAAGAGACCCGTAAAGAGAAGGAGAATTAGCTAAGTAGATATAATCAGATGTAAGAGAGAGAGAGAGAGAGAGAGAGAGAGAGAGAGAGAGAGAGAGAGAGAGAGAGAGAGAGAGAGAGAGAGAGAGAGAGAGAAAGAGAGGAGAGAGAGAGAGAGAGAGAGAGAGAGAGAGAGAGAGAGAGAGAGAGAGAGAGAGAGAGAGAGAGAGAGAGAGAGAGATCTGCTTGAAAAATCGTAAAAAAAAAAAAACATATTTTTAATATTTATCGACGGTTTTCTCCTGTTCAGAAGTTTTCTTGACCTGTTTTTCTCCGTCATTTTCTTCCAGTTTGTTTTTCTCCTTCGTCTTGTGCATGTCTGTCCTTGTATACATATGGCTGTGTGTACCTGTGTACGTATAGTTGTCTGCGCAGGGGTATACATGTCTGTGCGTGTGTACGCGAGGTTGTGCGTGTCTGTGCGTGCGTATGCCTAGTCATGTGTGCACATGTTCATCTGAACACATACACACATATGTGAGTTGTTAGGATCTTCCCCTTTAGAGGAAGAGGTGCCTTGATTCTGGTTAAAAGCTCTTGATCCCAGTAACTGGAGCAAATCTGACTACCTACTATTTCACAGGTACTATATAAATCATACAGGTTTGGCTTTCCTCGCGAACATAATAACTACTATTACTACTACTACTACTACTACTAATAATAATAATAATAATAATAGCAATAATAATAATAATAATGATAATAATAATAATAATAATAATAATACTAATGACAATAAGATAACAGTAATAATTAAAACAATTACAATAATAATAAAAATAATAATAATAATAATAATAATAATAATAATAATAATAATAGTGTATAATAAATAATAATAAATAATAATAATAATAATAATAATAATAATAATAATAATGACAATAAGATAACAGTAATAATTAAAACAATTACAATAATAATAATAATTATAATAATAAAATAATAATAATAATAATAATAATAATAATAATAATAATAATAATAATAGTGATAATAATAATAATAATAATAATAATAATAATAATGACAATAAGATAACAGTAATAATTATAACAATTACAATAATAATAATAATAATAATAATAATAATAATAATAAATAATTATAATAATAATAATGACAATAAAATAACAGTAATAATTAAAACAATTACAATAATAATAATAAAAATAATAATAATAATTATAATAATAAAAAAAATAATAATAATAATAGTGATAATAATAATAATAATAATAATAATAATAATAATAATAATAATAATAATAATAATAATAATAATGACAATAAGATAACAGTAATAATTATAACAATTACAATAATAATAATAATAATAATGACAATAAGATAACAGTAATAATTATAACAATTACAATAATAATAATAATAATAATGACAATAAGATAACAGTAATAATTATAACAATTACAATAATAATAATAATAATGATGACAATAAGATAACAGTAATAATTATAACAATTACAATAATAATAATAATAAAAGCGACAACAACACAAACAATAGCCTGAGTATAATGGGAAAATAATGTTTAATATTATTGGTGCGCAGGGTCAGGTGTGAGTGTTGAGGATCGGTAACAATAACACTGACCATGGCATATTGGCACTCTCTAACACTTATTGGCACTTGTTAGCACTCGGCTCTCACGGGACCTCGCTAACGCAATTACTGGCTCTCACTGGCACTCAGTGCCAGGTATTGGCTGGTCAACACTCTCGTCTATAACTATTACCAGCTCGTTCCAACACTAATGGACCTTTACGATTTCCGCTGATAATGCTGACATCGAGTTTTCTGTATGCTGATGATGACCCCAGCATTATTTTATGGTTGCATTATGAATACTGGAATGAGTTTGGAATCCTCTGAAAATCGTGGAGCTAATGGCGTGTGATCTGCAATAACGCGAGTTTATATGCAGTTTTCATTAGGTAATTTGCACAGCGGTGTAATGTAAAGCATGGCACCTCACGGCATGTGCATGGTGAGTGTATGTGCCAGGAAGAATGGCACGTGAAACATGCCGTGGAAGTTCCTTTGTAAATGACAGAGGTACCTTCGTGGATTTTATTTTTCTGCGTTGAATTTGAGTTATAAAGGCTGCTGTTCTGGTTTATCTTATCAGAACATAAGAATTGTGGAGTACTGCAGTAGGCCTATTGGCCCATGCTGTTCAGGTGCAGCTCACACCACTCTTGTACATGTCTATTCAAAGCTCAGGCTTCAATGACTCTCCCTGGGGGTAAGTTCCATTTATTTACAACCCTGTTGCCAAACCAGAGCTATACTACATCATTTTTAAATCATAATCTATCTAACTTGATTCCATCGCTACGAATCCTGTCTTAATTACATATATTCATCACTTTATTCACATACATTCTTAGCGAAAACTGAACGTTGCCAACTTTAGTCACCATGATGCAACTTGCGCTACGGAAAGTTCGCATTGATCTTGGGTTATATAAATACTGATTTTCCACAAAAATGGTTCTACATGACTATAATTTTTAAAGGGGTGGACCGGTAAGCCAGCGGAAGGCCTCGGTCAGATGACCAAAAGCTCCAAAGGTGGGTCATCATCTGGCTAAGACCCGCGTCAGGAAACATTTCTCCTGTTTCCTGACGAACCTAACCTAACCTAAAATAACTGATTTTCCAAATACTTACAAACATATTGCTATGTTGCTTACCGTAAACTAGCTCTCGATGACTTTTTCTCGCACCTAGAGAAAGATCTGAATTGATTTGGCCCTAATTAGGTGCCAGTTTGCTAATTAGGTGCCAGTTTGCTAATTTTCTTGAAAATGAAATGGAAAACTGGGATTTTGGTTACTCTGTAATAAACAGTGGATGTTTTTTTTTTATTTGCCTAATTTTCTTCCAGTCCCTGAGATTCACAAACTTGTTAGCTCTTGAGGACTTTCATGGGTTATGGGATACTGGGGATAC